GGATTTTCTTCAATTTTTTAAGTTCTTCAAGAATATTAGAGGAAGTGGAAATATAATCTGGTAATCCAAGATGAAGACAAAGAATTTTATTATCAATCAATGCACCAATTGCAAAATGACTAATAGATTCAACAATTGCATAATATAATTTATCATTTCCATATTGATCAATAATTTTAGATTTAATAGAACCAAATATTGGAATTAATTCATTAGGTAGATTCAATAAAGGATATTGAGGATTTAATAATACAAAGTTTAATGGACATAAAATTCTAAGTGCTGCTATTAAAGCAAATACTTCAATTGGATGAGGACCAAATGGTATATAATCACCAACAAGAACTACATTACAAGGACCAAAACTACTTGAAGGAATAATTTCTAATGCATAAAAAAGTCTAATTGCATCATCATAACTTCCACTTAAATCACCAACAACAAAACATGGTGGTGTAACAGTAACAAATGAAGGTTTTTGATTAAGAACATTATTTAATCCTTCAATAAGTTCCAAAAATAAAGTTAATGGTATTTGTCCATTTTTCCATTCATGAGTTTCTCCATGAGGTCCAGTTTGTTTTCTTCTTATAAAATCTTTTTTTAATATTCTCATTATACGATGAGCAACAAGTTGATAAAATTCATCATTATCAGATTTTATTGAAGGATTTGGACTTTTAGCTTCATCAACATTTCTTTCATAAATCATTCCTTTTTTCATTTCATAATATGATTTATTAAAAATATATGTTGGACTATGTTGTTCTAAATATTTTGGTATTAAATCAGAAAGTGGAGTTGGATGTAAATAAATTCTTGTAACTTTATGGTGTATCATTTCACATATAAAATGTGGATTAGCAATAAAAGATTTTCCATTATTCATTGGCATTTCAATTAATTCTATTGAACCATCTTTTGGTAAATCTTTTGGAATAGTCATCTCAAGTTTAGCAAACCATCTTAAAACAATATTAATTGAAACACTATATCTTTTCATATATAATTGTTTAGACATAGAAACTATATTTCAAAAATAAATAACTTCTTTTACTTATTTGTCTTTTCATATAAATTTGATTTATTCAATATTAAATAACAAAAAAAATCCAATTTAATAAATTGGAAGTTAAAATAAAAAAAAACTAAAAGAATTAAATTGAAATGACAAACTTGAGAGAAAGTATTTCAAAAGACATTTATAAAAAACGGGAAAATGAATTATCAATATTACGAAAAAAAAGAAGGGAATTATTCCAAAGTCAAAAACGAGGGATTAATGAAAATGAAATTGATTATAATAAATATTCAATAAATGATTTTGAAATAATAAATAAAAGTATACAAACATGGGAATATTATCTTTATGTTAAAAAAATATCAAATGAACAAAATGCTCCAATATTGTTTAAATATGGAAATAAACGATTACAAGAAATAAAAGAAATTGAATCAATTAAAGATATATTTATGGCAATAGAAATTTTATCAAAATTTCATTCAATACAAATTCAATTAATATCATCAATCTCTTATTTTAGAAATTTTCTTTTTACAAAATGTTGTAAAGAAATATTAGTAATATTTACAAATATGTGTTATAATCATTCTTTTAATGAAAATTTAGCTTCTTCTTTTCCTCAATTACTTTTTTGTGATATTCAAGATTGTTTTTCTGAATTTTGTGATTTAATTTTATCTATTAATGAACAAACGTTATTTATTTGGATTAATATTGGTATTATAAAAAGATTATTTGATTTCTATGGAACAGATAATCTTGTTGATACCTGTACTGATCATTTAACTACATTTTTAGATTTTCTTGAAGATTCTTTAGATGATAATGATTTTGTTCAATTGGATGATAGAAATGATTCTATTACTATTAATATATTACGTGTATTAAACAAATGGCCTGTTATAGCTACTTATTTTATTAATGAAACATCTGTTATACTTCTTCAATTTCTACCTCAAAATGATGATGAAGTTACTCTTTTTATAGAAACTATTTCTTCATTAAGTCAATGTTCATTTAAAACACAACTTTTGGGAATCATTCAACAAAATAGTTATTTGAAAGTCAATAAACATAAGTTATGTAATATGAATTGAATTGTGAATGTTTAAAATAACTAAGTTTTTTTACAAATAAAAAAATCTTTTCACTTTCAAATCCAAAAAAGTTAGATTTGCTTCAGATTATCTTATGTCAAGTAAACAACTTCCTAAACCAAAAAGTCCTAGAGCAATTCCATCTCTTATTATGGATAAAAGAAAGAGTATAAAATACTATAGCTCAACTAACTCAACTCCTAGATCTCGTTGTTCACCTCGTAATTCAATTAACACAATTACAATATCTCCTCAAAATGAATTAAAATCATTTAATAGAAATCCTCATTCATCTCCTAAACTCTTGTCTTCCCAAAATTCTAAAAGAAAATCTATCATTTCACCTCAACTACTTACAATTGAAAAAGAAAGTCAATCACTAACAAATTCTATAAAAGAAATGATAGGAATTGGTATCAATAGGAATAATGATGAAACAGATATTTGGGAGAAGGTTTATTTGTTTTCTTTAACTAATACTATTTATATTTTTATTTCATTGAAAATAATAATTAACAAATTAGATGCTTTTAAGTTGTGATGTTGGTATTACAAGTGCAGTTATTCAATATATAGAACGACAAGAACTAACTCAAGATGAAAAAGAAATAAATTCAATAATGTTATTTAACTTCTTTAATGAACATAATAAATTAACAGAATTAATTAACTTTTGTATAGAAAGAGATATTTATTTAAAATATGATGATTTAAATACATATTCACCATATGTAACATTATATAAATGTATGTTAGGATATACTCAAAAATATTATTTTTCTCAATTCTCTGCCTTTTATCAAAAAAAAGCAACTAAAATGAAAGACACTTCAGTTTGTTTTTATTCTTTAATTAATTATTTCTCT